TTTTAAAGAAATATTAAATTAATTAATTAATTAATTAATTAATTTTAATTTGACCAGAGAGGGACAGAGAGAGAGAGAGAGAAAGCAAGCTGCTAGATCCAGGATTCAAACTGTGGTTTGCCATGTGGGAGTCCAGTGCCCTTAACCACCACGCCACCTGTCAGCCCTGCTACACTTAATTTTTAAAAATCATATCTCTGCCACATTAATCAGTATTTGGTCTGGCTTACAAGCTACAGAGTGGTCTCTTCTTGTCTAGAAAGGAATGGGGGCATGTACGCTCTTAAACTAAGACAATCTCAGGTGGGTTTGTTTCCATCTGTAATTTTCTGTGAAGAATTGTGAACCTCGAGTCTCAGTGGAAGCACTGATCTTGAGACATGATTCAGTCTCCACATATTGTAAACTTAAGTAACATTTCCCATAATTCATGATTAAAATTGGGATGACCAGGGAGGAGAGAGGGATGGGGACACAAGCACATCCCTTGATACCCTTTGCATTTCATTCTTTCCTGTCACCGGACTTTCAAACCGCTATGAGAGCCACAGTCATATGCACAGAAAAAATGTGACACTGGTAATAAGTGCTGGACTTTGAGCCCACAGAGTGCACTGATCTGAGACCATCGGAGTTTGCTTTTGGGCTCCACTACTAACCGTAGAGCCTAGAGCCAGGTGATTTAAGGTACCTGGCTTCAGAGTACTGATGTCTTACCAAGCTAGGATGACGGCGATGATGATGGTCTCCATCTCAAAGAGCTTTATGAAGACCGAGACGGTACCTGCATGGTACTCTGCATGAAGCATGACTTGTGGTCAGAATTCAGTAAATACTATTTTGCTATTCCTGCTTGCTTGGAAATGACCAGATATATGCAAACAATCATATAACTCGATCACTTGAGTACACCATTTAATGAGCCCCTCTCCTCCAAATGCCCTAACTATATACGCTAGAATCAGCATCACCTCACACACTAGGCTGCCTTAGAAACAGACTGCAGATCACGGTATTTTATTAAAAGGCTGTTGTAACTATCCATGGTGCTAGATTGCAAGTTTACTAAAGTAAGCAACAGGGCGTGACTGCTGAACAATTACTGCAAACAACCAGCTTAATGTGAGCTATATTAGGATGAAAATTATTCTAGGGAGGGGAGAAACCCCTCAACCAATTAAATGGGGAAAAACTGGCCAGTCCCACTTAATAGGGCAGCTGAATGAGCTCACAGGGGAAACCATTTTAAATTGTCTTTTGAAATCAAGATTCAGTTCTGCTAAAAATCTGTAATTCTATTAGGTCAATCAGAGACTGTTTGATGACTATGGAAGTTGATTAGGGCCCGGTTGCAGTGGTACGCTCTGGGTGCTGCTGTCGTGGAGGCTAAGGCCATGTGAAAGGCCAGCGTTCAATTCCTGGCCCACCCTAAAAAGTTGGGCGTGGAGGTATGTGCCTGTGGTTGCAGTTACTCAGGAGGCTGAGGTAGGAGTATCACAACACAGAGAGATCCTGTCTGAGCAGCCACCACTACCACCACCACCCCTGCACCCTTCCCCTGCCCCACATATGTATAAACAGTAAGTCCCTGACTTGAAACACAGTTTGCAAACTGAAGACCTTTAAGCTGAAACCAGATTGTGGATACATTTAATTTGGCCTGAAAAAAAAAAAGATGTTAGTAAGATTTTTCTATTAGATTATTGTGTAAAATTAAGTTTTCTAGTCTCTTTTTGTTTTTATTTCTGGGTTGTTTTTTTTTTTAAGAGAGATTTTTACTATAGGGAGCGTGCACTCGCTGGAGAGACAGAGACAGAGACACACAAAATGAGAAATCACTCTCCGGGGGTGGCCATGCTGCGATCCGTTCTCCATTCTCCTGTTGGATCTTAGGCATGTATGCACACGCTTCTGGCATGAGTTTACGCTGCTGCGTGCAGGTCTGGAGCCATGCTCAACTACATGGGAGTCCAGCAACATAACCATTATGCATCTGCTGATCCCTCTAGTCTCTTTGGAAAAACTGCACGTAGCCACTTCAGCCTAGGCATTTGCTCTTGAGTTCAGCATGACACTGAAGAAGACTTGGAGACCAGGCAGTCTGACTCACTTATTTCCTCCCTGGTCCCTGGTGGTACTTTATGCAACTTTTTATTACAAATATTTGATTCAAAATAATTTATCCCATGCTCCGGAATCCTAGGATCCATGTAAAACTGAACAGATTTGAAGTTCTTTTAAGAAAAACTGGCTCTTGCTGAAAGTGCCACGATGCCCAACTCTGTATAGAGGTAGAATGAACCTCCTTCTAGAGATTGGGTCTCTAAATTTACAAATAGAATGCCAAACCTACCTCCTTCAGATTAGTGCCCTCCCTTAATTAGCAAGCAGAACAGACTGCAGAAAATTGGAGAATCCAACAGTCAGCTGATGATGAATCAGCAGGACCAAAGGATATTCTAACCCAAGGGAGATGTTAACAGGCCTTTCTTCAAAGTCAGCTAGGTTAGCCTTGTGGTAAAACAAGATACACCAGGAATTTAGCTGCTCCTCCAGTCTTTGCTGAATATTTCAGATTATAACTTCCTTTTTATAGAGGGCTGGTATTGAAAACATCCACTTGAAGACATGTCTATGTCAGGTGAAGACATCACTCCTTACATTGTCTACAGCCCTTAATAGAAGATCCTGTGAAGTAAGTTCACCCTGGCATTTTTTTTTTTTTTTTTAGGGGCCAGGAAAATAATTTCTCTTTCTTGATCGAGTCTGTAGCTTTCTTTAATCAGGTAACAATAATGAAAATTTAATACTTGCTTGCCTTACCGCTAGGGAATTCTGAACTAAATTTATGTTTTTTTGATGTGTTTAGTCAGAAACATTTCCACTTTGTTTCAGTAATCATTGCTCCATTTTTATTTGTGGTCTCGTTGAGACCTGTTAGGTAATGAATTGAATTCTGTAGTTTCTTGAAAGTGTTTCTGGACAAAAGGGGACTGCGCTTCAGATCAGGACATCAACACACACATCCAGAGTGCGGTGCTGCTGGGTGCCCCACAGTGCTGTCCTTCAAAGGAGCCTAAAGGAAAATCACGGAGCGCTGACTGCAGCTGATAGACAGGCAGACCTGTTGTCTTACAAGAAAGCAAGCCCCACTCCTGGCCGACCAGGGAAGCGGGCTAGTTTGAATGGTTTGGTACATCTGGTGAGTTCATTCCAGTCTCAGCCTGAGAGGTGCTTCAGCCCTCACTGTAATGGAAATGTTGCCATTGTCTTTGTTCAGACTCTCTGAACTTGTAAGATCTGTGCAGGCACCACCTGAATTGACTTTAACCTCTACTCTGGCATTAGGGATGCAGCTGCGCAGGGATCACAGCGAACTTGTAAGTGCTTTGTGACAGGGCAAGCCCAGGGG